AGTTATAACGATGTGTCGTCTGATAATTTACGAATTAGTGATGATTAAATTGAAAACAACATCTATCTATCTCAATGAAAATTGTCTAAACTACTCATAAATGCACCTGCCATTATTTGTAGATAGTCTTAAATTAAATGAATACAAACAATTGAACCACAAAGACGTTAATTTATCATTTTCTTTTCTCTCTCTTCATGATGTATAACGATCACATCAAATAAAACGAGTTCATGAAATAAATAAGTATTCATATCAGAGTTATGAGCTAAGTTAGTGCAAGGGCAAAGCCCATTTGGGGCCTTAAGCATAAATTATGTGTGGATGTTGTCGCTACAATTATTATATCCTGCACAGGCTACTCGGGTTCCTAAGCTTCTGGTTAGTCTGCTCATGCATATTGCCACCACCACTACAGGGGTCAAACGCATTTGTTGCTTTGCATCTCTGCGCGCGTGAGGCGTTCGCTTTAGCAGCAAAGTCAGCGCAATCTACAAGCGGGTCGACGTCTAACTTGGGCGACGGAATACCTGCGTCAAATTTTTCAGCCGCTCATATTCCTCTTTGATCTTCCGGTTCCCTTCCTCTGCCTTCTCGCACACCGCCTCCATCTTCCTCAGCTCCTCCTCCAAGAGCCGCTCGGCGGCCTTCTCCTGCTCCGCGAGCCGCCGCTGCCTCTCCGTCTCCTGCTCAGCCTCCGCCTTCTGGCCCTTGAGCTCCTCCAGAAGGCCGTGCTGCCTCTGCAAACCTTCCTCCATCTGACGCAGCCTCTCGGCCTCGTGCGCCACCCTGCGAACCATCTCCTCCTGCTTGGTCTGCGTGGCCGCCGTGAGCAGCATCTCCTCTCTGTTGCTCCGCTGCTCCTTCTGCTGCTCCGTGCTCACCATCCGCTTCATCGTGGCCACTTCGGACTCCACTGCCCTTTGCTTTTGAATCGCCAGGCGCTCAGCCTCCTGCGATGCCTTCACCTCCTGCGCGATTTTCTTCTGGTGCAGCTTCAGCTCGTCGATGTAAGCCTTCTGCTCCGAAATCTCCCTCTCCAGTTGGCGCTTCTCTAAAACGGCCTGATCGGCCTGAGCCTTCAGAGCCTCGACGTCTCTCTCTACGACTTCCTTGGTCGTCTCGATACTTGCAGAGTGTAGCTTTAATTTCTCCACCCTTTCACCCAGAAGATGTTTCTCTCTGTCGAGAATATCCATTCTCCGTTTCAACTCCGCCTCCTTTTGGGTGACCTGAGCCTCAAAGGAAGAGTCCACGAAATGCTTCTCCTTTTCAATCTGATCCTTCAACACTTGCAGCCGTTGTTCATATGCCTTTTGCAGGGCTCCTGTTTGTTGCTGTATGTCTGTGGTCGATCTCTTGGTCAGTGACAGCTCTTCCTGCATTTGCTTCATCTTCCTCATGTATTCTTGCTCTGTCTTCATTTTCTCCTTGATCAGCTGATCTGCCTTCTGGATTTTTTGCGAAAGCAATTTGATCTGCTCTACCTGCTCCCGAACTTTAGCTTCAGCCATGCCCTTTTCTTGCTGCAATGAATGAATTTGAGCCCTGAGTTCCGCCAGCTGCTTCACCGATTTCTCCTTCGACTTAGTCAGCTCCTCGACCTTCAACTTGAGCATCTCCATCTGTTTCAGGTCACTCTCTTTGGTTCGAGCAAAGCTGTCGATCTCCATCAGAAGCTGCCTTTCTTGGACCGACACTTCATTGTGCTTCATGCGTTCGAGCTGCAGTGCTTCTATAATGAACATCAGCTGCTGCTTGGCCTCCATCTCGGCCATCCCGTGCTTCTGCAGACGTTCAGTGGCTTCCGCGTCCAGCCTGTGCATGTGCTGCGCCGACTGCCGCACCTTCATGCTCAGCTGACCTTCTGTGAAGGCCTTTTGCGCCAACTTATCCTCCATTCTTTTCTTCTGCACCTGGATCTGCTCAAGGTGTGCCTCCCGTCTTTTCAGCTCCATCTCCATGTTCACCCTGACCGCCTTGCCGGCTTCGGTTTTCTCCCTCAGGACGCGGAGGTGTTCTTCCGCAGCGAGGCTCCTCAGCTGGCCCTGCTGGTGGACGAGCTTCAGATCGTTGAGCTCCCTCTCCGTGGCCTCGGTTGCGCGTGAGATTTCCTCCAACTTCGCCTTCAGATCTTTCGCCTCCTGCTCAGCAGCGTCCTTTTTCCTCTGGATGTCGGACGAAGCCTGCTCGTGCCGCTTGAGCTCTTCCTCCGCTCCCCCGCGGATGTCCGTGATGTCCCGGGACACGCTCAACGGGCTCTTAACCTGCTTGGGAGACCGGGTGGGACTCGCTCCGCGATCGGCTCGCGTTCGTCGCTCCTCCACCGTGATCTCGGTTGAGATTATCCGCGGCCGCCCCGCCGACGGCTCTCCCGCGGGGAAGAAAATCTTGTCTCTCTTCAGCTTCTGGACGTGCACCTTCCCGTGTTCGTCAACAGTCCTCGTTACCGACTTCTCAACGAGCGTCACTCTCTGCCGAGCTCCGGGCGACGTGAGTCTCTCGAGGGTCCCGCCCTCCCGGACGTTTCCTCTCTCAACTATTCCCACGGCGACGCTCGGCTCGGCTTCGGCCTGCTTCTGCCGTGGCTCGTTCCAGGACAGACATCGATCGTTAGCGGACGCCTCCGCCGCCTTCAATTCGCCGCGAAAAGCTGAAGCTTACCTCGGAGAGCGGCAAAGCACCGGCCACCGCCAGCGGAGCGAAGCGCAAACCACGGAAGGTTTTGTTTTCTCAAGGCAACGGCGCGTATGCTGCGCGTGGAGCCGCTCCAGCTCAGCGTGAAAAGCGGTGCTTTGGCGTGGCCATTGCAGAGGGGCGACGCTTAGTTGGGTGCTTTGCTCACTGCTCTTGGATGCCATGCGTCGTCTGCTCATCGCTGAAGCGGCCAAGCATTTTGGGGTTTTGCACGCCATGCAGACAGGATTTACACCACCCTACGATCAGGTTCTTGTCGGTTTCAACACATTAAGCCTCCTTGATCGGAGTACTCCTTATCCTTAATACAGAACAGCCCATAATTTCCCTTCACTATTTTCACCCGTAAAACATTTAAATAATTGTACTGTAACCTGTATTGGATGCACTTAACTCTCGATTATCTGTGGGAAGATTATCCGAGCTATGGATGAACCGCTCCTGTGGGGAAAAAAAATATCTGCAAATGCTCACTGGTTTAATTATCAGCTGCTCCTCACTCATGGAGGGTCAGGGGCTCAGTGCCCACGTCACCATGTGCACCGATTACATCAAGAAGCGATAAAGTACATGACACATTCAACTTTTTTTGCCCCTAATGCTACCTTGTTAAAAGAAAAATGTTTTTTTAGAGCCAAGCATATTTTTTGCATAATCCACATTTTTGTGAATCAAAGCAACCCATCTGCCCCCAACCATTACCCACAGACAATCGAGAGTTGACTTATAATAGTAATAATAATCTACTCAGGTACTTCCTCATCCTCAACGTATGATAATCCCTCAAAATAGAACCAAGCTAACGTTGTATGACACCTCCATCTGCTGCAATGCAGTCTGTTAACAATGCGTTTTAACAATATTTTTCAAAGCTACGCGTTTACTGATATCACTTATTCACTCGTGTGCTTCACGGTTAACCTGCAATTGGCTTTGACGCTCGTCTGTGCGATCCTGCACGGAAGCAATTGGTGGTTTCGGGGCAAGAGACGGCTTGTGCAGCCAGCTCACAAACAACAGCAACAAGCAGCGGCGCACACACGCAATCAAAGCCACACTTCGCTTCACACAGTATCCCCCGCTCGGCGGATACTGTCGGCGATGACAGCGGACGCTGTATTGCCGCCACGCACCTAGGAACTCGGCCGCTCACGAAGCGATGGGAGAGCGCGGGGGGGGGGGTGCGTCTCCCTTGTTAAATGCGGTTCACAGCCAGGCGAAAGAAAAGAGACCAAAAAATAAAACTGCAGAGCCGCCTTTTGGCCATCACTGCAAACGCCGCCGCCGCCGCCGTCGAAACTCGACGGCAACGCGCTACCGCGGTGACCCTTCCATTTTAAGAGATCGGCTTTTGATGAAGCATTGACATTCATGTTTGAAAAAAACCTCTGAAATCGGTTCACTTGTTTTCAAATGGGGGGCAACTGTCAACGAAGCAGCCAGGCGGAGCCATAGCCCCGGGATGGGGCAGCTTCGTAGAGAGTTGCCGACCGGGTGAGTGTGCAGGGGACGAACAACCGTCCCGTGGTACTTTGTGACGGTCCATGAAATGTGCCCCGAATCAAATGATTCGCGCGCAACCAAAGCTGATATTTTTACCACTGCATTCCACTTGAAATAAAAGTGCCACCGTATAATAACTTGCATTCAATGGATTATTACATTGCCATCAATTTGGCTCTTAATATGTCAAGATAAAAGTTTAAAAAAACACAACACAGGCAAACAGTTTGTAAATATATAATACCTGTAAAAGCAGAGCTGGCAGAGAGAAAGTAAACGTCAACTTTGGATAAAGGTGCGTCCAGTGCTTATGAATGCAGAGGGCACACAATGAGATTGTGTTTAATTTCCAGAAGTTACACACAAGGCATGACCATTAAACAGGCATCCTATCATAACAATATGGGGGAACAAACGTAAACAGTGTGGTTGGGGTGGCAGTCCTGATGGGTCCACTAATTTAGCCTTTCATTATCTCTCCTTTTGCCTACCCTCTAAAGCAGTGGTTCTTAACATGGGATGCACGCACCCGCTGGAGGTGCGAGCTGCCCTTTCTGGGGGTGCGAGACTTGGCCAGATTTTTTTAAGAAGGTGAATCATCGAAAACAAAAATTAAGCACGTGCACGTAAATACAACGACTTTGTTTTATCAAACCCCTATGTATTTATTAACATTATAATGTTGCCGTTACGATTGAGAACCAAAGGGGTGCAAGGCTACAGTAAAGATTAAGAACCACTGCTCTAAAGAGACCACGTGCCCCCTGCTGGGTGGTTGAGGAGGTCTGACTGGAGCTCACCTCCTGCTGCTGTAGTTGCTGCAGCGAGTCACTGATGGTTTTCACGCGGTGACCCGTCAGGTTCACGAGAGCCGTGTAGCGACCTCGCAGATCGAGAAACTGACCCGGAATACACAGTGGGACGCGCAGACGCCCGCAGTCAAGGTTAGCGGTAAGAAATACATCACCTTACAATGTGTCTGAAAGTAAATGCACTTGGGCAGGACCCTCGTGACAAAGAGTCGTGAGACTCGGTGAGGCTTTTCTGGGTAAACAAGTGTAGCAATAGACAACAAAATATAGCAAGTGGGCTCACCTCTTGCGCGATGGTGTCAGCTTCTGACTGCTGCCACTGGTGCCTGCTGGGGCCACTGTGCGCCGATTCCACCAGGGCGCGATACTCCATCAGCTGCATCTCATACTCCTACGTGAACCAGGCATCACAAGGACAAAGATCCCTCGTTTCGCCTTCACAGACTGTTGGGGGCAAGAGCTGTTAGCGAGCACCTATGAAGGCCGGCACAACGCACGAGGGGGTGGGTGGCCGACACCACGCCTGACCGCCTTTGTCTCCCCAGTGTCGATGTTTACACACCGCAGTAGGTACTCATTTGAGGCTGAGTCGACCTAAGGGAGGCACAGGACCGGTTCAGATAATCGTCACTGGTGTTGGCCGTGAGCGGGAATCGAACCCGGGTCACCAGGTTCGTAGCGCTAACCGCGACACTACCGCTGAACCAGGCAGCACAACACACACACATGAACACAGGCAGCAGGGTTTGACAAATGCATACAAGGCTAAGTTGGCAGGAAATTACAAAGGCATACGTATATATGTACATACTAGCCTTCTGCCCGTCCAAGGACGGGTGTATTGCAGTACATCTGAAACTTGCAAGCGAAAAGCAGACCGTGACGTGACATTCATTGCATCCATTCGTGTGCAGTTTGTAAGGGCGCGATGACACAGACTTATTTCATTTAAAGGTTATAATCCCTTGTTCATCATGACGTCCTTTTTACTTCTATGTCTCAACAACAGCATTACGGAGATCACGTGACGTGAGGGTTCTGCCTTTGTAGTGAGGGTTGTCAGTTGATACCGAGGAGGGGGGAGGAGGCGCCTCGCCCCCCCATGTGGAGTGATGTCAGCTGCTAATTATTATTAATGGGGGGGGTGTCCATTTGGAGGACGTCACCTTATACTGATTATTAATGAGGGGGGCTGTTCGATGTGGAGTGACGTCACCTGCTCATAATTATTAATGAGGGGGGGGGGGAGTACTCCAAATTGAGTGACGTCACCCGCTCAAGATTATTAATGAGGAGGGGAGGGGGGGTGTCCATTTGGAGGACGTCACCTGCTCATGAATATTAATGAGGGGGGCTGGTCGATGTGGAGTGACGTCACCAGCGTTAAGGACAGACATTCCCAGATGAGCAAACTGGACTGACAATCCGGAGGTTCGACCGGTACAATCTGGTCTCCCGGCATGGCAGTTGAAATACTGGCGCAGCTTTCTTTAAAAATACCAGAGCCCTTATCCACCCAGCCGTATAAATATTGAGATCACTGTGAGCTGACCGGCGGGTCGCGTGCGGTGGGACAAAGTGTGGGCCACTCCCACTTCTTCCAAGATGTCGGACTGCCATGGAAGAGTAGGCCAAAACACAGTCGAGAGGGGCCTCTGTTAAGTGCCTTTAAAGGAGGACATTCTGGCAGCAGCGTCGTGAGGAAGTAATTACAGCGCTGCACCTTTACCTTTGCATTAGATGAGGGTGCAGCGGTGGCTCGCTTAAAAAATATTACTGAAAATGTTTATGCCTCGAATTAATCAAGATTAATATTTTTATTATTATCGGAAATTAGCATTAAAAACGTAAGTTACTCATCATAAGCCATCGTCAGCCACACTTTAGCCACAAAAATACCTTATCACCATCCTCATCATCAGCCATGATCTCTCCACGACTGGATGAAGGCCTCAAAAAGTCACTATTTCTCGCAATCTCGTGAGGCAATAATCCATTAACAACGCCTGTACACCTGCTGATTGTATCCCTCCACCTCCATGGTGAACATCCTCCCGGGCGTGTCCCCTCCTTCGGCTGTCCCTCTGCCGTTGGTCTCGACCCGTGTGAGCCGAGTGCGAATGGAGCGCGGAGCTCACCTTGAGCGCTGCGCAGTACTGCTCGGAGTAACGCTGGCACTCGTTCACCTTGTCTTGCCTCCTGTCGATCTCAGTGACCAGCTCCTGTGGGGGTGAAAACGACACGGTGACCTCAGAGTCGGTGGCAATGACTGCGTGGCGTCTGCTTCTGTGTGCGTGAATATCTAACACGTGAAACGCTTCAGCAGCATATAAACCGAGAATGTTTTTTTTTTATCTCGGCGTCGATCGGCGACAGAGTGGAGAGCGCGCTGCACAGCCTGGCAACCTGACAGCCTGAGTTTGAATCCCAGGAATCCCAAATCGTGACAACGTATTGAATCGCGAAGGCGAAGCGTGGGAAGCTTGAATGCTACAGGCGTAAGTGTCATGTGCTATAACGAACTAACAGTTTTATTTTACCAGGTGAGGCCCACAGAGCTATGTAGCTATTTTTCAGAATCGACCTGGCCACAAATGAAAGCATAACTAAGTGGCTTATCGCGTGGAAATTTATCCAAGCCAAATACTCTAAAACGCACATTTCTAAATGTGGAGAGAAAAAACGGAGGACCCGGAGAAAAATCCACGCGACCACGGCGAGACATGCGTCAGGGGTCGGGATCGAACCTACGACCCCACAACCTCCTATTTACCAGCTGAAGTAGTTATCATCCTCAGAAAAGCATACATTCGCAAGTCCGCATAGCGATATTAATATTATTACTATTGCTTTTGATAATATCAGGTGATCACCTTGTGCTGGTTCAGCTGGGAGCTCAGCTCCTGGTAGTCGGCCGTCTGCGTGGGGAGGGGCTCCTCTTGCTGGCTGCCCACTTCCTGCACCCACTGCATGATGGTCTGGTACGACTGACGGTAGTGGCCCAGGATGCGTGACAGCTTCTCCAGGTCACGGACCCTGCAGCGACCCATTCGTGACCGTGTAAATCAAACAACCCGCAGCGACCACTGGCAAACACGCACCTCGTCGCAAGGGTAAGGATGGACAGCACAAGGCGTGATCGTGACCAAAGCTTAAGTTCCCCCATAATGCCTTTCATGTCACGTGACACTACCCATTCCCTGACATTACCTCGAATCGGATCGAACAGTCTGCCGATTAATCTCCTTGTGTTCTCATAATGAACGGGTGAGCAACGGCACAAGACCGGGGCAAGAAGGGGCATTGGGTTCTCTGATGAATTCGTAATAGAAGAGAGGCCAATGCCGATTCCCGCGCTTGCGTGCATGCGTTCGTGCGTGCACGTCTCTCACCGCGAGTCGACCTGCGCGTCGACGCTATCCCAGCGGCCCTGCAGGGCCTGCGTGGCGTCACGCATGCGGGCCAAGTCCACGCAGGCCTCGCCGTGCGTGCGCGACAGACGCTCGCCCACGGTCAGCGCGCGGTCCAGGGCCTCCTCCAGGCCCCGCATCGAGCGCCGCTTCTGGGACACCTCCGTCTGCCATTGCTGCCGCGCGTGCGCCCAAAGACAAAGATCCCCCCGTGCAGCCTTAACAGACTGTTGGAGCAAGTGCTGCTAGCAAGTAGCCCCTATGAAGGCTGGCACGGTACACAAAGGAGTGGGTGGCCGGCACCATGCCCGGCCGCCTTTGTGCTCCCAACAGTGATGTTAACACACCATACCAGGTATTCATCTGAGGCTGAGTCGACCTCAGTGAGGCCCAAGACCGCTTCAAATAATCAGTGTTGGCTGTGAACGAAAATCAAACTCGGGTCTTCAGCTTCGTAGCGCAGCGCGCTAACCGCTACACTACCCCACGCACACACACACACACACGAGGCGATGGCAAACCCAGGGTTCCGTTACCGTCAACTGCGGTCACCACCGTTTTCTCAGCCTGGATTTGCACGACCGCATAAACAACTTGTCTGACGGTGATGAACGGTGCACAGGTAGATCCAGAAACCTCTCGTCGGGCGGCAGGTGTGGGGGGGAGGAGGGGGGGAGAAGGAGTGGGGGGGGCCGTACGAAAATGTTGTCTCCAGTCAATATCAATAAAATAAAATACCAATTTTCTTATTTTCTGTGTCTCGAATGAGGCGCGATAAAACCATGGCCACCCCCCCACCCCCCTCCAGCCACCCCCACGCCTGCACGGGCACCGCCACGGGGCTCTTGGCTTTCGTAAAGTTTACCCTACAACACGTGCAGTGGCCGAAATTCTTTTGAATGGAATGGTCGTTGTGTAATTTTCGGGCTGCGTTTCTCAGTTATTTTGGCAAAATTTCCAAAAAAAAACCGAGCTGGGGACAATGAGCGCCCAGTGGCTGCTTCGTTTCGACGGAGCGACGGAAACACGTCCCGCCATGCCTCCCGTACCTTGAAAGCGCCCCCCCCCCCCCCCCCACAGCCGTACCGGGACCACAATCGCCGAGCCCAAGAACCTGCCGGGCGGCGAGCACGACGAGAACGACAGCAGCGCGTACCCTGACGGTGTTGCGGTAAGCGTCGATGCTGTCCGTCTCGTTCGGGATGGCGCTCTCCTCGGAGAGTCGGCCCTCGTAGGAGGCGAGAAGTCGCTCCGTCTCCTCCATGCTGGTCTTGACCTCGTTCAACATGCTCAGCCTGGGCACACGAGATGCCGCAGCGCATCGGCCGCCCGTCAGTGCACGCACCGCGACCGCGAGATGTTAACTACCTCGCCGGGTGTACGGGAGGTCGCGGGTTCGATCCCGACCCTGAAGCCTGTTGTATATTTAGATTTTGGGTGTTTCCTCTCCCCGCGGTTGCAGATTTTTCTCCGGGTCCTCCGGTTGTTCCCTCCAAATTTATACACGTGCGTTTAGAGTATTTGGCTGCTGCTATAACTGTCCACGTGGTAAGCCACTCTTCGTCGCGCTGTCATTTGTGGCCAGGTCACTTATGAAAAAGAGCTCCATAGCTCAGTGGGCCTTATCTCGTAAAACCAAAATAGTTTTTTATTGTTTTTGTTTATTATTTACGCGGCGGGCCGCGTTGGGTTATACTCAAACGGTCATCATCAGTTTGAGTTATGGTCGAAACGTCGTGAGAATTTTTTATTGTTTTATATATATTTTGTTATTTTGTTGTTTCTCTTCAGCGTGACTTTACCGAAAAAAACTATGAATATGAATTACGGCAGTCACGAAAGCTTTAAATAAAAATTTAATATATGCATTGTCTAAGAAAATGATTGGTCCACACCAGAAACAGTTTTTTTTTTATTTTATTGCCAGAAAGGGTCAAACCTATTCTTATATAGCTGATCACCCCTGATAGTGGCTTTGTCTTGGTGCTGTTCGCCTTGTGGCGTTTTCTGGTCTAACACTTTGAGACTAGGCTCTAAGGAAAGCTGTCTCTGGTGTGGACCAATCAGTTTCAAGACTGCATACAGTGAGGGAAAAAAGCATTTGATCCCCTGCTGATTTTGTACGTTTGCCCACTGACAAAGAAATGAGCAGTCTATAATTTTAATGGTAGGTTTATTTGAACAGTGAGAGACAGAATAACAACAAAATCCAAAAATGTTATAAATTGATTTTCATTTTAATGAGGGAAATAAGTATTTGACCCCCTCTCAATCGGAAAGATTTCTGGCTCCCAGGTGTCTTTATACAGGTAACGAGCTGAGATTAGGAGCACACTCTTAAAGGGAGTGCTCCTAATATCAGCCTGTTACCTGTATAAAAGACACCTGTCCACAGACGCAATCAATCAATCAGATTCCAAACTATCCACCATGGCCAAGACCAAAGAGCTCTGCAAGGATGTCAGTGACAAGATTGTAGACCTACAATATTGTCACTGCTGCTTGGCAAGACCATTGCCAAGCAGCTTGGTGAGAAGGTGACAACAGTTGGTGCGATTATTCGCAAATAGAAGAAACACAAAAGAACTGTTAATATCCCTCGGCCTGGGGCTCCATGCAAGATCTCACCTCGTGGAGTTGCAATGATCATGAGAACGGTGAGGAATCAGCCCAGAACTACACGGGATGCTTTAACTTTAACATAGCCTTTTCTGTGACCAGTCACAAGCTAATCACTCAGCCATTTCAATGCAAAATTATATGCTAATTCCTTTGTCAAGGCACTTTGTTTCTTCTCACACAGCTTTTAAAGGTCGTGATCTGAGCGTGGCTTTCTCACTCCAGCGCTGTCCTCCAGACAGTCTCGTCCCCTTCACCTGATGAAGGCCGCTTGTGTTGTGGCCGAAACGTCGTGAGAATATTATTGTGCTATTTTATTTTATCAATTTATTATTTTATTCTCATTCTACGTGACTTTACCGAAAGAACCAAAGAAGATGAATCTTAACACCTGTTTGATTTCCAGAAAGGGTAAAACCTATTCCTATATCTTCATGCACGCCTTTATTTCTCCACTCCAATTTTCAGAACATGTCGTCGCACGCTCGCCGTGCATAACTTCAGTGAAAGCGTGTGCCCACGCCCGGCGACACTTCCGATGTGAACTCCTTGTTACATTGTATACAACTCGCCGACGAGCCTGACGCTGCTGTCAATTCCTCGAGCAGGTTTCACCTGCCCCCTTATGGAAACGGGACGGACGACCACGGCGTCATTCCCCGACTGCGAAGCAAAAAACAGACGGAAACCTATCGCCGGCGCCAACCACGGCAGATCGGGTCGGGCCCCGGGGGCGGTGGTCGCGGGACCGCAAGAGTGCGCGTGGCGGTCGACGTGAGGCCACGTACTTGTCGCGGTAGAGCAGCGAGAGGCTGTGCGTTTGCCGGAGCGAGTGCTGCAGCTGCTCCAGCTGGGACCTCAGAGCGTGGAGGCGAGGGCTCGCGACACCTTGGCTCAGCACCGGCTCGCACTTCCGCGCCACCCGGTCCGCCTCCGAGCCGAGGCTCTCCACCTCCCGGTGCAGCCCCTGTGGACAGCAGGAGGGGGGAGAACGGACGACGTCACGACGGGTTGGTCCGGCACAGGGGAGGGAAAGGCCTGTTGTAAACAACCCACTGCACGTTCCGTAGCCCGACGTGGCTTTCCTCGGACATCCCAGCGCGCTCACCTCCTGCGCGGTCAAGCACAGCTGCACGTATTGAGCCGTCTCGGCGTCGAGGGGGGTGCGCACGCCGTGAGCCAGCTGCTCTTGACACTCCCGCAGCTGCTGAGACAGCGCCGCGAGGTCCGACAGCAGCTGCTCGCTGTCCTCGTCCGTCCTCTCCTCTGTGGGACACGCGTCGTCACACCGGCCCCCCACGCGTGATTACGCACCGGGCGAGGTGGTGTCACGCACGTACAGTAGCCTCACGCACGTCCAGTAGTCTCACGCACGTCCAGTAGTCTCACGCACGTCCAGTAGTCTCACGCACGTCCAGTAGTCTCACGCACGTCCAGTAGTCTCACGCACGTACAGTAGTCTCACGCACGCCCAGTAGTCTCACGCACGTCCAGTAGTCTCACGCACGTACAGTAGTCTCACGCACGTCCAGTAGTCTCACGCACGTCCAGTAGTCTCACGCACGCCCAGTAGTCTCACGCAACGCCCAGTAGTCTCACGCACGCCCAGTAGTCTCACGCACGTCCAGTAGTCTCACGCACGTACAGTAGTCTCACGCACGTCCAGTAGTCTCACGCACGTACAGTAGTCTCACGCACGTCCAGTAGTCTCACGCACGTACAGTAGTCTCACGCACGTCCAGTAGTCTCACGCACGTCCAGTAGTCTCACGCACGTCCAGTAGTCTCACGCACGTACAGTAGTCTCACGCACGTACAGTAGTCTCACAGACGTCCTGTAGGGGGTATCATCACAAATCATCACATATATATACCCTGCTCAGTTTTCCGAGAGCCGACGCGAGACGAGGACTGGAGACAAATCGAGCGCGAGTTTACCCAGCACAAGCTGCTCCAGCAGCTGCTGGTAGCGCGCGCGGCACGCGGCCACGTCCCCCCGCAGCTGCTGCATCTCGGCCGCGGAGAAGGCCTGGCTCGCCTCGTTGTGGCCCTCCAGCTGCCCGTAGTGGCTCTCCAGGGCATCCATCACGGACAGGTAGTCTTGCTCTGCCAGCCCACGGAACTGGCGCACGGCGGAGGGCAGAGCGGGTTACGAGCGGGGGTGGCGGCTCGACGAGCGACTTGGTCTCGTCAGTTCGAGACAATTTGGATAGGTGCAAGGGGATTGGGGAAAGAAAAGGAACAAGGGACCCACATCCGCCCAACCTCATACCTTAAGTAAGATCAAATGAACCTGATAGCCCACCCCGCGTTTCCTCGTCATGGCTTTTCTGAGTGCTTGTCGTTTTGTTAACGAGTAGTGAGCAGTACGCGGCGCTCACGTTGTCGATATTCCAGGCCGTGACGATGCCCATGTCGGCATGGAGGTGCTGCCACAGCAACAGGCCCTGCATTTTGCCGTAGAGCTGCTTCCAGAGAGACACGCTGTCCTGGTACCGCTGCTCCACCCTGCGGCCAGTGGGCGCACACACGCACACGCGCACACGCACAAACCACAAACATACACACGCGCGCATGTTCACACGCACGGTGCAGCATCCCACAATTAGGCTTCATCACTGATGGGATGGGCAAATAGGTTGCTGAGTAAGCAATCTTAATTCATAACCAGATGGCAGCCCAACTGGGCGACCTGACTTTGATTACTGGCCATAGTTAATTATGGTGGCGAGCGATATCTGACCCTTCACCAATTTGCAACATCCAGCATGGTGATGTACAGTGAGGGAAAAAAGTATTTGATCCCCTGATGATTTTGTACGTTTGCCCACTGACAAAGAAATGATCAGTCTATAATTTTAATGGTAGGTTTATTTGAATAGTGAGAGACAGAATAACAACAACAAAATCCAGAAAAACGCATGTCAAAAATGTTATAAATTGATTTGCATTTTAATGAGGGAAATAAGTATTTGACCCCTCTGCAAAACATGACTTAGTACTTGGTGGCAAAAACCCTTGTTGGCAATCACAGAGGTCAGACGTTTCTTTTAGTTGGCCACCAGGTTTGCACACATTTCAGGAGGGATTTTGTCCCACTCCTCTTTGCAGATCTTCTTCAAGTCATTAAGGTTTCGAGGCTGACGTTTGGCAACTCGAACCTTCAGCTCCCTCCACAGATTTTCTATTGGATTAAGGTCTGGAGACTGGCTAGGCCACTCCAGGACCTTAATGTGGTTCTTCTTGAGCCACTCCTTTGTTGCCTTGGCCGTGTATTTGGGTCATTGTCATGCTGGAATACCCATCCACGACCCATTTTCAATGCCCTGGTTGAGGGAAGGAGGTTCTCACTCAAGATTTGACGGTACCCTGGCCCCGTCCATCGTCCCTTTGATACGGTGAAGTTGTCCTGTCCCTTAGCAGAATAACACCCCCAAAGCATAATGTTTCCACCTCCATGTTTGACGGTGGGGATGGTGTTCTTGGGGTCATAGGCAGCATTCCTCCTCCAAACACGGCGAGTTGAGTTGATGCCAAAGAGCTCCATTTTGGTCTCATCTGACCACAACACTTTCACCCAGTTGTCCTCTGAATCATTCAGATGTTCATTGGAAAACTTCAGACGGGCATGTATATGTGCTTTCTTGAGCAGGGGGACCTTGCGGGCGCTGCAGGATTTCAGTCCTTCACGGCGTAGTGTATTACCAATTCTTTTCTTGGTGACTATGGTCCCAGCTGCCTTGAGATAATTGACAAGATCCTCCCGTGTAGTTCTGGGCTGATTCCTCACCGTTCTTATGATCATTGCAACTCCACGAGGTGAGATCTTGCATGGAGCCCCAGGCCGAGGGAGATTGACAGTTCTTTTGTGTTTCTTCCATTTGCGAATAATCGCACCAACTGTTGTCACCTTCTCACCAAGCTGCTTGGCAATGGTCTTGTAGCCCATTCCAACCTTGTGTAGGCCTACAATCTTGTCCCTGACATCCTTGGAGAGCTCTTTGGTCTTGGCCATGGTGGAGAGTTTGGAATCTGATTGATTGATTGCTTCTGTGGACAGGTGTCTTTTATACAGATAATAAGCTGAGATTAGGAGCACTTCCTTTAAGAGTGTGCTCCTAATCTCAGCTCGCTACCTGTATAAAAGACACCTGGAAGCCAGAAATCTTTCTGATTGAGAGGGGGTTAAAAATACTTATTTCCCTCATTAAAATGCAACTCACTTTATAACATTTTTGACATGCGTTTTTCTGGATTTTGTTGTTGTTATTCTGTCTCTCACTGTTCAAATAAACCTACAATTAAAATTATAGACTGATCATTTCTTTGTCAGTGGGCAAACGTACAAAATCAGCAGGGGATCAAGTACTTTTTTCCCTCACTGTATGGTGGCTTTCATCCGATAGTGGATTGAGAGAGGGCTGTACATGGAGAGCCGACTGGAATATAAGCGTCTGGGTCACGGACAGAATACGGTAAAATAGGCGGACACTCGGGGTCGATTTTTGGTGTTCGCCATGTCTCCGAGGCGCTAAACCGGAGGCTGAATTAACAAAATAAATTATTTTACCAGGTACGACCCACTGAGCTATGTAAGTCTTTTTTAGAAGTGACCTGGCCACAAATGATATCTCAACGAAGTGGCCTATCACGTGAATATGTATAGCAGGCAAACCCTCGAGACGCGTGTTGATACTAAACGTGAAGGGAAAAACCGGAGTACCCAGAGTAAAAATCCACGCGACCATGGGGAGAGAGACACCGCAAACTCTAAATATACAGGCGTCAGGGTCGGGATCAAACCCACGACCTCCGTATACCCACGCGGGGGAATTAGCATCTCGCCACCGCGGCGCCCTAAAGGGCCCCCCCCCCCCCCCCCCCCCCCGTGCTCGACAACGGTTCGGTAGGCGGCAGTGGCGGTGGTGGTGGTGGTGGTGGTGGTGGCGGTGGTGGTGGTGGCGGTGGCGGTGGCGGCGGTGTTGGTGACGGAGCAGGTGACCCTCACCGTGCGGCTGAGTCGAGCGCTTCCTTGTTGGGCGCCGGCACCAGGAAGCAGACAGAGGGCACGGTGCCCGAGCGGCCGGAGGGGTTGCTCACGGTCCAGCGGCCGTCCTCCACCCCGCTCAGCGAGCACTCGTCGTGCTTGGTCAGCGTGACCTGTTGCAGCGGCGCCGGCGGACGAGACACTCGTAAGTGGCGACGTGAGCGGCAGCCCCCCCCCAAACCACCACCCGTTTAGATCGCGTGTGTCTCTCCCTTAGGTGTCGCTCAGAGTGCCGAGTACACGTGTGTGTGTGTGTACGTTGAACTTCTTTCACAATCGTACGTCGCCAACCGTGCTAATTGGAGGTGCGGGAAAGGACAAGAAACTAAACACAAAAGCAGATCCAATGCAGTGAGTTTTCCATCGAGATTTAAAAGTGCATTGCTCCAGCTGGCACTGCTGCCGAGCACCTGGGTTCAAACCTGGGCTGCTAAACTAAACTTTTTTTTATTCCACTCTTTTTTATTTTACCAGGTTTCATTTTCATTTTAGTTTTTTCATTTATTTGGTACAGCCCTGTGAGCCATTCGGCTCTTGAATCGGGTGCAACCGCAACAAACAAAAAAACAAAAACATGAACAAGAAAACATCTTAAAGTGACTATGTGACTGTACAAACAGAAAATCCAGGAAAAAAACATCAAAATATTCCTGAAATAGCACCGTACACCAACGCTGTATGCAAAAATCCCAGTGCGATGCAAGTCAAACAACAACAAGAAAACTTAGATTAAGGCCATCAGTCTAACTCCGTACTACAATAAACAAAAACATGGCCAAACCAAAAAACTTTTAGAAATCACCAAAGTAAAGCCATAAATCCAATGTAACAGTGATCATAGGAACTGTGACCGAATTTTTTACAATAAACTAAATAAATAACATGTAACACCAAACCCTAGAGCCACAGCTGGCTGCATGAGTCACTCCACAAACAACAGGAGCATCAGTCAGAGTATCAAAAACAGCTATATACCCCACTGAGCTATATAGCCATTTTTGAGAAGCAACATTACCACAAATGATAGTTCAACCAAGTGGTTTGTCACGTGAAAATGTATAACAGCCAGAGAAAATCCATGGGGAGAGAGACGATGCAAACTCCAAATATACAGCAGCAGGTGTCAGGGTCGGGATGGAACCCACGACCTCCTATATACCAGGTGAGGTAGTTAACATCTGCTCAAGATTCGCCCAGGTTTTTAAGTCGAGCGAGTCGCCAATGATTTTCAAATATTTTAAATGTCGTTTTGTACTTAATTAGAAGGTATATATATGTTCCAGCTCTGGAGATGTTAATAATTATCAGTCTGACTCTCACGCAACAAACATTATTTATGTCACAAGGCCAACATGAGGGTGCTATGTTTTCAGACGATCACAGTCCGCAGTAGTTTCACAGCAGGCAGGCGATGGTTCTACGTGGCTTTGCAAAATGACGTAACTTGTAGTTCCGTGACATCCACTTCTGTGGACTGTTCTCCAAACTGGGGCGATGCACTGCTCCGCGAGACTTTCGAAGACATCGCTCTCCTCGTCACATTACGCCGACGACGCTCAAGACAACAACGACGACAACGACGACAACAACGACGACAACAACAACAACGACGACAACAACAACGACAATAACAACAATGACAACGACGACAACAACAACAACGACAACAACAACAACGACGACGACAACGACAAGGACAACGACAACAACGACAACAACAACAACAACAACGACGACGACAAGGACAACGACAACAACGACAACAACAACAACAACGACGACAACAACAACAACGACAACGACAACAACAACGACAACGACGACAACGACAACAACGACAACAACGACGACAACAACAACAACGACCAACGACGACAACAACAACAACGACCAACGACGATAACAACAACAACAACGACGACGACCACGACGACGACGACGACAACAACAACGACAACAACAACGACAACAACAACGACAACAACGACGACAACAACAACAACGACGACAACGACAAGGACAACGACAACAACGACGACAACAACAACGACGACGACAACGACGACGATGACGACAACGACGCTCCAAACGGCGGAGGCCGTGCGGCGCCAGCCGCACCTGGTCCTGGTGGTAGCTGCAGAGCGCCGTGACGGGGGTCGGGGAGCGCGGCGAGAACTCGGGCCGGCGAGGCTTGAGCTGCACCACGGCCTTGGCTCGCTTGAGCAGCTTCGACGTGCCCACCTTGAGCTCCGACAGCTGCTCCTTCTCCTCCTGTAGCCATCACACATTCACCATAATTCGTTCACTCACCTGCTCTGTAACGCATTAAATCGGAGTGTGGAACATTCCCACATTCCTGGTCTAGTTTGTTTTAGGCTGTGAAACAGACTGCAAGTGGCTCAGAGCGCTAATGTTTTATTTTTTATTTTACCAGAAGCGACCTGGGAATCACAAATGATAGCTCAACAAGGTGGCTTGTCACGTGGAAATTTACAGCAGCCAAATACTCCAAACGCATGTTGAGTCTAAATGTGGAGGGAAGAACCGGAGGACCCGAAGACAAATCCTCACGCCCACGGGGGCAAACTCCAAAAAATACAAGCGTCAGGGTCGGGATTGAGCTAGAAACTCATTGGCATGTTTTGTTTACGTGAGAAACCTTACTGGTCGGCTGTGTCGGGTGGCAGCGGGTTTAACGACACAATTACATTTACGGGATCTAACCCAAAACAAACAAAAAAAACCTCTATAATGGATAACATTGGTCGCAAAAGCCGAGTATTGCATCGCGGGACCGTGCAAGAAAGCAAAGGCTTAGGGACGCCTTAACCCAGCGGTGGATAGGTTATGGCTGATGATCAGAATCTGAATGATTATTATTATACTGGATGAATCCCTAGAGCTATAAATCTATTGTTCACAGATGTCCAGTAAATGATGATGACGACGTCGATGCCGATTCCCTGCTCACCTGGGCATCCTGGAGGAGGTTTTCGAGGCGTGCGAGCGAAGTGCTCGTGTCGCACGCGTAGCGGCGACGCACCGTGTCCTGCACGCGCCGCAGCTGCTGCTCCAGCTCCCGGGCATCCTTAAAGAACTGATGGCCACAAAGACACACTTGAAGGGTCAAGCGCTGTTAGCGAGTGGCACCTATGAAGGCCGGCACTGTGGCGCACAGGGGGTGGGTGGGTGGGTGGATGGCCGGCACCACGCCCGGCCACCCTTGTCTCCCCTGGTGGTGATGTTTACATACCGCGCCAGGTGCCCCTTTGAGGCTGAGTCGGACCTGGGAAGGCCCAGGACCGGTTCAAATAATGGTTGCTGGCGTTGGCCGTGAGCGAGAATCGAACCCGGGTTACCGGGTTCGTGGCGCAACACGCCGACGGCTGCACTACCGTTCCCCACGCTGATGACCACTCATGAACACGCACACACACGGGGTACTGCAGGCCATATGGGCAAGCGCTCACCTGATAAGCTATCAAGGTAATCTTAATTTAGGTGGCCGTAATTGTGCACGTTAACAGCTCTAATAGCAGATGCTTCTCCAGATCCCATGCATCCTTGAATAACTGACGACCACGCACACACACTCACGCACAGAAATCCCCTGTGCTGTATTCTAGGCCGCAGATGGCAACAGCTGTTCACGAGCACCTTTCAAGGTGTTGTCGATAGTGGTCTCAATAGCCTCTTAATATCCCAGTTCTCAACGGTTTCTATTTGCTAGACACAACTCTGTCCGTTTATGCCACTGCCGTACCAAGTTGCCTTTGTTGGTCTTAGTAAATACATTGACCGTGACAATTTACCAGTGGCAACTACTGTAAAATTGGCATATATTATGGCTGTAAAATTGTCATATCATGTTATTTTGCTAAATTTCCCAAAAAAACGAGCTGTCGTGATAGAGGGCTGTGAGCAATTGTACGGGTCAACATCAGAAAGAGCAAAGCCACTCGCTGTGTGGAAGGGGCTAGTGACTGAGTGGGTGTGGCTATATAAAAGTGGGTGGGTCTACGTGCTGACCACGCGTCCCAGTTGAGCCTCACGTGGACATGGCAGCTCGATTGCACGTCGCTGACGCTTAAAGGGCCACAGGCTGTCGGGGTGGGGTGGGGGGGGGTAGCTACCTGGAAGTAGACAGTGTTCTCGGCCAGGTGCGTCTCGACGCAGGAGCACAGCTGCAGCAGCCAAGACCACTGGGTCTTGAGGGCGAGCAGGTAGGCCTGGACACATGGCGCACGCGCATTACGGTCAGCACATGCGGCGGTGCAGAGCTTGAATTGAGACCTACGGGAAGCAGCTGGGACCAGTTCACCACCTCCAAGGTGAAAAGGTTGTGGTGAAAATAAAATGTCATCGCGCCTCCAATACATTCACTGCAAAAGTTATCCCACATTAACCTGCCACATGTACGTGGGAATATGCGTGAGGATGAATGTGCGAGCCTCCCTAGATGCCGTGCGTACGGAATGAGCGTGGTCAAGTTGTTTTATTTGGCCTGCAGGCATCACAGATTCCGCATCACTCTTGGCAAAGAGTTGGCCACTGTTTGCTCCTGTCAAATACCTGCTGTAAGTCAAGTGATTTAATAATAAAAAAAAGATACACAGTTATGCAGCATTATATGTTATTCATAATTATTTGTGATTATATCGCTGTGTTATAGATGGCAGAGTGGTGGCGCTGGATTAGGGCACAGCGCTATGAAGCATGTGACCTAAATATGTTTTCAACTCATGGCTAACATCGTTGCCAACTGATATTCTAAATGGTCTTGGTGAAGTATGGTCAAACAACCTCCATGACCAACACAGCATAGGGAGGCTTTCAGCCAGCAGGGTGTTGACAGAGGCCTGTACATTATTACTGTATTAACATTTTACTAGTAATCACGGACTTTATCTGGAAAATAAAAGTACTCATTTAAACAATACAGATTTGTTTTATGTTGACTGCCATTAAAAAGAGATATACGCTGCTAGATTGGTGCCACACAGTGAAGTGTGGTACAGTATTTCTAGAGTGAAGGACAACATTTTATTCAGATGCAATGTCTACAGATTCCCAGTGACAGAAAAATACCAGCAATGAGTTACGAATTGTTACCGCTTTAGCCAAGCAAATCAAAACAAGACGAGTCTTGATACTAGTGTCTACCCAAAGGCTACATTGGCAGAAGCAAGATACAAAAAGCAATCTACGTAATTAGCATTGTGGTTTGACATCCGAAACGCCTTTTGTATTCAACGGGACATGTCTGAACTGGTTTTCAGCTGACTCAAAGCAATGCAGTCATAACTGGATGTGCTGCCTTGTGAGAGAACCGCGTGAACTTTGAGTGCAGGGTACGAGGTTTTCAATGTATGTCTGAAGCCACCAAATGGTCTGGTTCACGTGTTGTTAATGTTTGTTTTGGAACAGATATTTTTTTTGCAAACACATGCATTGTCTCCATTACGAGGTTTCAATTTTATTCGTGAAATTATTGCAACAATCACATTCGACCGCTTGTAAAGTAGTTATTTCAAGAATCTACTTTCTTCCACAGGTCATAGCACTCAGCTGGCACTAATCTCAGCTCCTGGATTCGAATCTAGCTGCCTATGATAGAACCAGGTTTTCACGTAGAGTATAGTGACTTAATTGTCATGTCAGTCACCAATGACTTTACAAATAAACCATAACAAACCTTTTGCCCATCCAAGGACAGGTGTCTTGCAGTAAATCTTAAACTTGCGAGCGAAAAGCAGACCGCAACGTGATATATTCATTGCATCAATTCGTGTGCAGTTTGTAAGGCCGCGGTGACACAGATCTCGTTCATTTGAAGGTTATAATCCCTTGTTCATCATGACGTCCTTTTTACTTTGATGTCTCAACAGCGTTACGGAGATCACGTGACGTGAGGGTTCTGCCTTTGTAGTGAGGGTTGTCAGTTGACGCCGAGGAGGGGGGAGGAGGCGCCTCGCCCCCCCATGTGGAGTGACGTCACCCGCTAATTATTATTAATGGGGGGGGGGGGGGTGTCCATTTGGAGGACATCACCTGGTCATGATTATTAATGAGGAGGGCTGGTCGACGTGGAGTGACGTCACGTGCGGGACACACAGACATTCTTGGCTCATTATAGTATAGAATATTATATTTGATTCGGCACACCGTTTAGCTAAATTACACCTCCGAAAATTTAAAATATCAGTTTGATTGTCATGCGATGAGCATTAATCTGCAGCAGGCTTGAAAAGATCTCAGCAGGAGCTCTGCAATATCCGCTTCTGCTGGCCATCCTCTAAAAACAGGGGGCTTATACGCTGTCCTGCCAGAGTTCCGAATGGCCCATCCGTCTCACGGTATGAAACCGATGGCAGCAACCACGATACGACAAAAAAAGGGTGACAAAAGAGACTAAGCTGCAGATGTTCCGTGAAATTACGAACGTGGCAACGTGACTGCCTGTATAGGCACCACCCCCCACCTGGATGGTTGGATTTCCAGGGTGGCCTTCGCCAACCAAGTCCTCCCCGGCCTGCACCACCTCCCGGAACGCCGGCTCCCTTTGCTCCAGCTCTCGCACCAGCAGCTGAAGGCAAAAAAAAGATACAAAGACGTTTGGGGGCAAGATAATCGACACCGGTGTTGGCCGTGAGCGGGAATCGAACTCGGATCGCCGGGCGCGTAGCGCAGCGCGCTAACCGTTGCACTGCCGATCCAAAGACAAAGATCCCCCGTATATCCTTAACAGACAAGTGCTCTTAGCGAGCACCTTTGAGGGCAGGCACAGCAGATTAGGGAAGTGGGTGGCCAGCACCACCACGCCCGGCTGCCTTTGCCTCCTCAGTAGCGATATTTACACACCGCACCAGGTGCTCGTTTGAGGCTGAGTCGGCTCAAGACCGGTTCAGATAATAATCGCCACTGGCGTTGGACGTGAGCGTGAATCGAACTCGGGTCGCCGAGTTCATAGCGGAGTGCACTAACCATTGCACTACTGCTCCCCACACACACACGCACACAGGCATGGACATTCGCACGCACGCACGCACAGACACATGAATAACCCCGTCACGACCGCTGAGGGCGTACGAGGTCGCGTGACTCACGGCGTACGCCTCCTTCTTGGGCTCCAGGTCGGGGTTGAGGTCGCTCCAGTCGTACGCGACCTCGCGCTCCTCGCGCTGCGTCAGCCACAGCATCTCCCGCTGGCAGCGGCGCAGGAAGCCCTGCTGGTTCTCGAGCAGCCCGAGCCGCGCTCGCGAGCCGTTCTGCGTCGGGACAAGGGGTAGGCGGAGGCCGTCGCGCACACAGCTCCTGGTTGAACTCGCCACGGCGAGCGTTCAGCGATACGGCCGGGTACGAGCGTGTGTAAGCAGGGCTCCTTGACGGTAGCGTTCCATCGTTATTCGTAAGGGATACGTTCCGGAGATGCTCGTGAATATCAATTTTGGCGGATAATGATATTTGCCTACAAAAAGGAATTAACTTAAATAAGTATATAAATAAGCTGTTAAATACTTGAAAATTGTCACTTTATCTCACCACTTTATCTCTCTCTCGATGCAGTCGAGAGAGAGGGATGCGCTTCGTGGATAGCCAAAATTGTGGATAACAAGTTTGGTGAATAACAAGAGAATACTGTAGTTGCTTAGTCCTTCAGGCTATTGGATTTCCAGGCTGTTATTATCAAGTAGCATTTGTTTAAGGCAAAACACTCTGGACCAGTTTTGACCTTTCTGGATCTCATCAGAAGTTAGGCTACAGCTGAGTAGATCCCCTTAAGGTTTTAGGGCATCCTTGTGATTATTGATAAATCCAAGAAATTAAGATAGACGGACACAAATTAAGACAAACCCCCACTTTTCACCAAGACTTCACCGACCAGGATGATGAAGAACGGTCAAATAAAGCACATGGACGACACGGAGTGTGGATTGACAAAATGCTCGAAAAAGAGACCATTAAGACCAGACAATTTCATTCCATAATTTTGGGATTCTATGGTGGAAGGGTTGCTGTTGGGCATTTAATAATGCAAAACCAAAACAATTGTTTTCTTAATTTATTTCTGACGCTGATTTATAACCATTTATCAAAATTGCTGTGCATTTAAAAATCATTAGATGCCTAGATCATTTGATTCTACGGTGGAAAGTCTCTGGTCTTTACAAATGTGATATTAAGCCTTTTAAATATGTGTGCGTGCAGATTGGGGATAATATCAGTTATGTCACTACACTACATCTCCTGACCGTGTACACCTTGATAAATTGGTATATAAACATTTTATCCTCTTATATCAACTCATCCTCAAATGAGTGCCTGGGAGGGGGAGACAAAGGCAGCTGGGAAGTGGTGTTGGTCACACCGACCCTCTGTGTTCTGTGTCAGCCTTGAAAAAAACACGAGTTCAGGACAAATGCTGTGAAAGTGTCTTCGTACATATCTTTGGATAGATGTTATATATTTTTGCGAGGATTTTTTGTTGTCAGCGTTCCAGGACCTCAATATTTCAAGGTCACGTGGCCTCACCAAGAGTTTGCTGTATTGTTGCTCCAGCTTGTCCAGTGATTTGCTGTAGTCGTAGCGGCTGCCTTGCGACACACTCTGCTGTAAATGCAGCAACGTAAAGTCTTATGGTTCATGCCTGCAGTTATTTGTGTCAGCATCCTGTGAACCAGGAGTACAAGGCATGAAGCAGGGCTTCTCAAATGCATACCGTGTCAACCCATACGGTTTACCCCATAATCCTGTACAGGGAAATAGAATGTTCAGGTCCATATGTCGTACAGCCGTTTCAATACGGGCAAAACCATTTTTTTGGTATATTTGTTTGTGTTTCTCCCTTGTGATGGGACTTTGTAGGATGAACGTTGAGATTTATAAGGGACACGGGGTGACCAATGAGGTCTGAATTGGTCTGTAACAAGGTAGGGCACCGATAAGGGGTTGACAGGTATGCAAATGACACTCCTCGCTCCCCAGCACAGTGGTCTCCTGTAGCATTTACCAATCGTCTCGATGCGAATGCAAGTTAATCTGCTACACGTTGAAAGCACCTGATGATTGGTAAGGAAGAAAACATTTACCGCAGTCGGTCACAATGGATGGGTTTTAAAAATGCCTGGAATAAAGGATCAATAAATAGAATCATTTTAAGCAATTAATAAAAATTTAAATAACAATAACAACTTGCATGGTGTAAAAACACGAGCTAACAATGGCAATTGTAATCAAAAGTAATTGTCCACTTTGGAAAAAAGCCATGAATGTCAATGGAAACGACTTACAACCAAATGAACACAAGCACAGTTAATTGCATAAGTTTCCCTCAAGCAAATTAAATACTCCAAAATGATGAGGTGGCATAATTGATGTGTTATTATTGCATGCCGACATCGAGTTACAATGTTCATTTTTATTTACGTAATCGTTTGACAAATTGTGGCCTCTAAAACATGAATTGTACAACCTTCAAACATAAACTTACAGTGTACAGTAAAACATGGCCGACTGAAGATAACTGTTAGATAACATATTTTCCGGATTGTGTAAAATGAGGGCTTCATTTGTCATGGAATATTTTCAACCCTCTCCCCTTCTCCCGCCACCCCCCTCCCCCTCCCCACATCGAGAGTTGGAAACGGGGGCAGGAAAATATTTTTCTTGAGTTCAACTCCGGATAACTGTAGCTGAAATCAGGCCCTGTGTAGAGTTCATGCTTTACCGCCACGCAAAGTGAATAGATGCGCCACGTTACGTCATTAGCTACCATTGTTTCCTGAGCTTCACCCAGGCTTGACCGAAAGTTCTCGATGGTTTGGTGAAGGGCCTTTTGCTCCTCCAGCAGAGCCGTCGTCTCATCCAAGTCTTTGCCATAGCCAGACTTGTCAACCGTTGCCTGTGGCCACGAATCATAAATAAATAAATAACATTACATTGCTGCATTACTCAGCATGTGCAAATTACTCAATACAATATGTTCATCTCTAGCAATAACAACATACAGCCCTTTTGTCAATATATACTGGATGAAGGCCTCCCCAATCGTAGGGGGTGGTTTTACCATATTTCACCATGCTGGTCAGTGTGAATTGGTGGAAGATGGGGAGCATATACTTAGATCCATAGACGCATCAAGTAATCCAGCAAACCCTAATGACAACTTGTCAGTGCATGACAACTCTGCTAAGCTTCTGAGATCCCACGAGATCAGGCGCATTGCAGGTGATTTGGGGGGAGCATTAATTAAAATAATCCTGTGCCTATTAACACACACATATGCACGATGGCTGACATCTTCGGGTGTAGTAAGTTAACTTAATGGACCGTGTGCGTGGCCCCAGACCTGGTTGCTCTGCACCCAGGTGAGCAGCTCCTGCAGGTAGGCCGCGGCGGTCTGGTCCTGCTGGGAAGACGCCGCCTGCAGTTGGGCCTCGTCCCGGCTACGGCTGCGAGCCCCTTCCCCGGCGTGAGCCGTGATCTTCGCGTGCTCCGCTCGCAGAGACGCCACCTGCTCCTCCAGCCGCCGGAGCCTGCGCGTCGCGCGCCCACCACGGAAAAGCCCCGTCCGCACAAGTGTGAGCTCGTCATTTTATTCGGCAAACTCCGTGCACACGCGCGGCGCGCGATCGCCGCGTTGAGCTGGTTGATGGGCTCACAGGGTGACATCGAGACGCAGAATCCTTGAACGAAAACTAGCGAAAGGTAAATGTTGATATGGCCGTTTGTCAGGGATAAAATCAGTAATTTGATAGCGTATGTGAAAAGAGCAATAGGTATGTACCGATGCTCAGAATGGAAAGACATTTCATGGCTTCAGATGTAAAAAAAAAATGATGGCCTGGATTTCACTCTTGTCATACTTTGCCAAGTCAGCTGTAGTTGATTATCCTGATGATTGATGATGGATATTGTAAAGATGGACAAATCGAGACAATGATGATGGCGATGATTATAAAAACGATGTTGAGGGTTGCAGCAATGTCGCTGCTAGGGCACTGCGCGAATATTCTATCAACCTGCATTCAACTTTTGGCCAAAAATTTTCCCTGGTCCTAATCTGAGTTTGACGCTTGCCTGGAATTCCCTTAGATCAACTCGGGCTTTAACCGATCACCTAGTGGAATGCATCAACATTATCACTTGGGAGACAGAGGCAACACACGGCCCCAACATTCTGAGGCTAAACATGGGACATCTGCGTTTGTCTCTGTGCGAGTGCTGGTGCGAAGCTGGTGGTTTACCGGGATTGCAGCAGCTCCGGCTGGGAGCAACCTCCGTCTGTGAGCGTCCGCACGTCGGGATAGAGACTCTGCACAAACACCTCGATCTCCGAGAGGCAGCGGGAGATCTCCTCCCCGTGCTGTGGGACTCGGCCAGAGTTTATCAGAGCCACGTCCTGCATCACGGCCCAGAAGGACAGCATAATCTATTTACAGGCTCAAAGAGATGATGAATAATAATAATTAAAAAAATATATATATTAAAATAAAGGTGCAGCCGTGCAATTACTTGCTCGCGCAACTGGTGGCGGAGTCCTTCGAGAGATAATTTGGCCTACTCTTCCACGCTGGCCAGATATCTTGATATAATTGGGAGCACCCACACTTTACCACACCACAATGACCCTGCCAATCAACTAAGTGTGGTGTACCCATTTATACTGTTGGTTAATAGAGGCGGGAAGACACAAATTTATGTAATTGCAAGTCCAGTGTGCTAACCATTGTACCACGGCAGTATCCCAGAGGCAGTGAACATGAAAATAAATCGTTAGTAAAAGGAACTTTGCCAAACAAATGAATTATAATTCATTTATTATTACTAATAATAATTCTTACTGAAACATAGAAATAGTTTCCAGAGACTAAATATAATTTTCATATTTCGTTGTTGGTGAACGCCTTATTTGGAATTAAATGAAGCCAAATGCAGCTGAAAAATACCACCTTCTAAAAAGTTAATTTTCCTACCGATAGAAATCAAGCAGAAATTATTTACACCAAGTGAATATATCACACCGTGTTTAAGTGAATGTTGTTTAACCAGGTGAGAACTCAAGAGACCAGGATAGCCTCATTTGCAAGAGTGACCTGGGAAATTACTCTACCAGTATGGGGAATGATTGCTTTGTATAATCCACATTGAGTCAATTTCTAATTGGGACCGTGACAACGACACAGAGTGCCCTACTCTGGCGAATGACGTCAGGGGATCTTCAACGTCGTCTACTGTGAAGCAGATGTCGTGGAGTGCCATTGTTGTTAATGCCCCCACAGTATTAACCAGGGCGGTTGCTGGATTCGAACCGTTAACCTCCGCAACAAGCAGGAAACGCGCACTGCTAGGGCATGGGGTTGACCTGTTTGTAGAACATTACAATTCTATCGCAAAGTTTACCGCAAAACACGTGATGATTTGCAAGGCGTTTCAACAACTTTATTTTTTTACAAAACTTATAATTTCCTCCAAACAGGTCAAGCCCATAAAACGAGTTAAATACAGAGCATAAGATGGTAGAGTGTGAATAGGATTACGTCTAATCAAGTGTATCTCCAGTAGTTGGACAACAAGAAGAGGCAGATTCCATTGCAATACTAAAAAAAAAAATCCAAAAGACAGGGTTGTTTTTTTTTTTTTAGCAAATGAGGTGTTTTGAGAATGCGGGTCAGCCACTTAAGGTTTGGGTGAAGCTCGCTCAAGTCAGTCGAGAATGTGCAAGAACCACAGTGAGCAGCCACTGTGAAATGAGCACTGCCTTTGTTGTTTTCTAAATTTAAAGCTTTTTTCTTATCGCGAGGTCTTTAAAAAGCCGAAGCTGTCAAAACAACCAGAAGCACGCAATCAGGCCTGTGTCGTGAACAGTGCATTTTAAGGAGTGGCGGTTATGATAACCTGCCTCCCCACCAAAATTACTCATTTGAAATGGCCCAAGATAACCCCTCTTTGTACAGAGTTTTTATAAGTTCATATATAAGATGTGTTCCTATATATATAAAACATCTTGAAATGTTATTTTAATGGTTTGTTACCTCTGTTTGATAATGCTTTATAAGCATCAGTAATAACGTTCTCTACTCAAGAAAGCCTAACTGAGTCTCAAGACTCACAAGAATGCCCTGCATTAGGATCTTTTTCCTACTCCATTAATGAGTATTCAGCATAGGGAAAGAAAACGGAGCACCCAGAGAAAACCAATACATGTGAGGGCGTATCACTCAGTGCACCGTAAAGATGAATCCAATAATCTATTACTACTGCCAGCACCTTACCACAGAGTGACCCGAGTCTACAATACACGGTGTTCCCTGACAGTCTGATTACTACCCAGGCTCCCGCCTGCATAGCTTCCAAGATCTGGCAAGATCAGGATGAGCACTGTGGGAAATAAGTTCAACATACAAGGTGGAGATGACGATAATGAAGGTGGAAATATTCCATCAGATGAAATAACTCACGGCTTGCAGAGCCTCGTAGACTTTGTTGAGGCCTTCGGCGCAGGTGTTGGTGTCCACCTCCATCTTCTGCGCCAGCCTCTGTAGCATCTCCAGCCTGGTGCGCATAGTCACAGGGACACGTGTATGTTGAATTTCTTTCACACCGTACGTAGCCAACCACGCTAATCGGAGGTGCAGGAAAAAAAACGAGACACCACGCATTATTCCGCTGCTGCCTCCAATCGACAACCCAGCCACGCTGGGGCCATGCCGAACCAGCCCGGCACAGATCAGGAGGATGGTTGTTTTTCCACTGCAGAAACCCGAGCCGTGCCGCTGATGTTAGGTGCAATGAAAGCGTAATAAGCCCCACCCCTGACCCTGCTTGGGCCCCCGAATCAGATATGGATGCCTTGCGAGAGCCCTGTCGTGCGGTTTGTTTTTTCCTCGGCAAAAAAAGACCACCTGTGATGTAAGGAACCCTTGCTGGCTTGGCTCAACTATGCCAGTGGGAAAGGGATAGGAGAGACACCCAACATAATCGTTTAACAGGGCACCTCACAGATCATGGAAAAGAACGCCTTCATTGCCTCCTGCTAGCGTGAATGCTGTTGTTTTTTTAAACGTTTAGTGGTTAGGAACTGCCACTCATCATTTGGCATAGTAAAGCCTTGTGATGTCCCTGTGGATTAAATGTGAGTTTTAGATTGAATGGGTGATTATACAGGATGTTCATGAAAGTATAATCTACGATTAAAGAATAATACTACCCAGAAATTTGAGCTAGGTCTATAAAACTACAAAGACAAAGATCCCCCATATAGCCTTAACATACTTTTGGGAAAGTGCTGTTAGCGTTCACCTATGAAGGCTGGCAAGGGACACAAGGGGGTGGGTGGCCAACACCACGCCCGGCCGCCTTTGTCTTCCCAGTGGCGATATTTACACACCGCACCAGGTACTCATTTGAGGCTGAGTCGATCTAGGGGAGTCCCAGGACCATTGCAGACGATCGTCGCTTGTGGTGGCCATGAGCGGGAATGGAACTCGGGTCGCCAGGCTCGTAGCGCAGCGTAGCGCTAACCGCTACAATAAAACACTACACGGATACGTCCCACACTCGCACTTGTGCAATATCTTTTAACTATCATTCCTCTAAACCTCCACCACTGTAATTGCGTGGACGACAACTCGTCGAGTCGAAATCAGAGAGGAAAGTTCCAGGCCCTCTCGCCGATACCTCGAGTGCAGTTGCCTTGAATGTTTCTGTTTTGTGCCTTTGAGGATTACGCAAGCTCTTCAGTGTCGGCAACATGTTGCAAACGAGCAACTTCTTGCAAACAAGCAACCTATTGCCGACACTTCAAGCATGCAGTTCAAACTGTTATATAGTTGCAAATCTTAATAGCGAAACACAGCTTCACGGATACCCTGCATATTCCCACCAAACATGTTCAGCTAACATTTTAATCTTTTCAGCGGTTAGCACGGTTGGCTACATGCCGTGCGAAAGAATGTCAACATACATTCCTGTTATAACTACCACCGTGACTTAAGATTAATATTAATTGAATTGACCTTTGAGAAACAAACATTTGGACTGATAGTGACAGACGGGAGACACTTTTCTTGCAGCTGGATTGACAACAAACATCAACCACAGGCAGTGTGCTGGCTTGCATATTACATGGCTGCTGTGGATAGAGGAAAACTTGTCCTGTGATCAAAGATTCTGAACACACGTGACCCCCCTGCGCTGAACATCAGACAGCCCACACACGGCATGCTGCAGCAAAAGCCGCAGGCTGTACTCCACGCGTAAGCACAAAGATTCCCCGTATAGCCTTAACAAACGTTTGGGACAAGTGCTGTTAGCGAGTACTTATTAAGGCCCGAACGGTACACGAGGGCGTGGGTGGCCAGCACCACTCCCGGTCGCCTTTGTCTCCCCAGTGGCGATGGTTTTACACACCGCACCAGGTACTCATGTGAGGCTGAGTCGACCTAGGGGAGGCCCAGAACCAGTTCAGATAACGTCACACCGGTGTTGGCTGTGAGCGGAAATCAAACTTGGGTCGCCGCTACACTACCGCTCCCCACACAGTGACACTCGGGACAAGCGAGGCAGTGGAGACAGAGGGGTTGTCTCATATCTGCGATGTTACGCCGTTTCTCTGTCTCAGCTTACAGCCCATGCTTTGCTGTGGACTGACATGTTATCTCATGCATGCTGTGTTCAACCACTACACTGCAGGTCAATTCGTTTCTCTCTCTCTCTCTGCTTCTTTATTCACATGGCAAGACTTTGGAATTCCCTCCCATAGTCTCTTTTCCAAGTGTTTACAACTTTGCTCAAAATCAAGACATATATTAACTTATTGTTTACACCTTCAAGCGTTGCTGTTTGTTACTGGCCGCTTGATAGTGTGGACCTCTGGGCCTGTGTTCATCAACTGCGATTTAAAAAAAATTGTAATCTTGAAACCCATATTCATGTCACGAGAATAAGTTCATCGGATCTCACTTGATTGAATCCAACAATATAACTAGTGGATGCAAAATAAATGCTTAATGTTAAAATTTGTCAATGATAAACGTCGGCAATTCTTTCAAAAACTCGAATACAAAAATATCCACACTTTTTAAAACGGAATAAAATGCATCTACAGTGGGGGACGAGTTCACATTTTGGGGATTTGTGGTCTGGGATCTTTTTGGATCATTGACATTTTGTACAAATGTAAAAAAGTCCTCGTGCTTACACGTGCAACGTGACACAACTGTTGGTGGGAAAAGTGTGGAAGTGCTGTCCCTAAAAGTCCTATTAGAGACAGCACTTCTAGTTTCTGGATCAACCCAAATTAAATATAAAATGTGGATCGTACGATGTTTCGTGTCTCGGCCTGACTTTGGGATGAGCACATCTCTAAAGCACAGTATGCAGTGGCTTTATACGAAGATATGTACTTTACTTATGTCTCCAAATAAAAGACTGTAAGACACCAATCATGAATGATGTAAACAGATTTGAAGACTGTTCCGCTGTAGTTGATAATGAATGTCCTCATGCAACCGCACGTGGTATGAACTCATTGAGAGCAGTAGTATCATTACCGCAATGAAGCTTGATAACTAACAATTTTCCCATTGTAGCTCACAGAAAATCAGTGCTGGGTACAGTTTTATCCCAAACAAAGATGAAGTGAGTACGAATATACATCCTGCATTGTTCACAATTGTACTCTGACATTAATGCCCTGTGTGTTTACAAATAACAATGCCCTGTATTTATCCAAGAAAGTTTCAAGAGACTCGAGACTATTTTTTTGTGGATCCTAATGAATTGGAATGTGCAGCCAATTCCACGTGCTTTACATCTGGGAGGAAACTACAGCACCTGGAGAAAACCCCACACGTACAAGGGGATAGCACCCAAAATTCCGCACAGATGGATTCAAGAAACAGTTTGATTTACTACCATCTCCTGGCCACTGGAATCAGCCAACTTAAGCACATTACAGACAGGTATTATTTTTGTTAACAAAGTTAATACAACTACAGTATGCCAATGACTTTGTCGGTCTGAGGAGCGTTGCTGTAGTTATCACACCGTGCCATACACCCAACGTCCTGAGTTTTATTCTGGGCCGCAGCTAACACCCATAGCTCCTCCACCAACCCATGCTGACCAGTACGGTCAAACGAGTGGCAATTCAAATGTTGGCCAAAGGCCATTTAAGCCTGTCGGTGCTATCCATGGAAGCACATCCACCTTTGTGCCACCAACAGGCAGTAACCTTCTCCAGACAAGAAGCCCTCTGCTAGTCTGTCAATCACACCCTAAATGTTACGCAAAATCGAATTTGGCTAAAGTTTTGTTGAATACTGAATATATAGTACGAAAAGAGACAAAAACAATTCTCACAAAGGTAGACGCAAATAAATCCACAGCTTTCGTGAAATGCGTGCACTCGATATATTTTAGACGTAAATACGTTTATAAAGTTAAGGAACAATTGCTGTCATTGGACTTGAGACAAAAGAAAAGTATAAAACGTGAGTTTGAATTTTACACACCGGAAGCATAGGCACGACTGCTAATTTACAACAGCTGGTATTGATCATTGTAAGTAAATGACAGTATTTACCAAATACGCAATAAATAATGTTACCTATGGACAGTAATCAAAACTCAGGCTGCTAGGTTCACAGTGCAGTGCACTAACCACTGCACCACCGTTCCACCGCGACGACACATCACTTGGCATTACTCACACTTTACAGCAGCAAACATTACCGACAAGCTATGCTGACAACCCACGATAGCTAAACCAATATTCGCAGCTAAAATAAACAAACGAAAAACATCCAAACTCGGCAGCGACCAGGGGTCACTGCAGAACTGAGCGGCGTGCCCGGCGCTCTACCTGTACGGGTTCACGTCCTCGAACACCAGCGTGTGGCTCGGGATGTAACGGGACAACGAGGCCATGTGGATTTGATCGCTTGAGCTGGACCCGAGGCGGGAGACGCTTCCAAAGCCGCCGCCGCCGCCGCCGCCGCCGTGGGCGAAGGCCGGGCTGTAGGAGACGGGGGCGACCCGCTGTCTCGGCAGCGACCAGAACTGTGTGGCGTCGGCGGCCGGAGCGCCGGGCTGCGCCGCCCTGGGCAGTGTGCTCCACTCGAAGGCGCTCATCTCTGCACCTCGGTGTCCCCTTCGCGCGGAGACGGGGAATCGGTTGAGTCGCGAACGACGGGGGAGGAGAGTCGCCGGACTTCAGTCGCCGAAAATTCCTCGCCTTCCGCCGGAGAAGTGCGGCGTCGCGAAGGACATCGCCGGCTGCAGTTTCAAGCGTCTGTTCGGATTTTGGACATTCAACGCTATTTTGGTGACTCCGCCAGGCGCGCGCTTCTCTTCATCGCCACGCTTCCGACACCGTAGCCTGAGATGAGTTGTAAACGTACAGGAGGCCTTTTAATCCAGTGCAGCATTCAAATGGACTTAGCGAGGAGGAGAAATAAAACCCTCTCTCATTTCAAAGGATTTATAGGATTCCAACAAAATCCAATGAATTATTGTAATTTCTCATCCGTGCGATGACTCACTGAGCAGGA